ATTACGAGAATAAAGTCGTAATATTATAAGAATAAAGTTGTAATATTACGAGAATAAAGTCGCAATATTATAAGAATAAAGTTGTAATATTACGAGAATAAAGTCGTAACATTACGAGAATAAAGTCGTAATAATATGAGAATAAAGTCATAATATTATGAGAATAAAGTCGTAATATTTTGAGAATAAAGTCGTAATATTATGAGAAGCTTGTGTTCTAAAAGATTTCCTTATTTGTGACATATGCCAAAGTGTAATTTCACATGATGCTCGACATTCCTCATTTTAAGGAAGAAAGTGCTTCTTGTAAGAGTTGTCATAAAATACAACTTTATTTTCATATATTTATGACTTTATTCACATAATATTACGACTTTATTCTTGAAAAAAAAATCTGCAGTAACTCTGTCCTATTTTCTTTTATCTTTTGATATAAAAAATAAGATCAACTATTAGATTCAAAACACTGCACTTGTATCGTGTCTTATCATAGATTTCTATGTTACAGCAACAGGGATGATAAAGATGACGGGCAGAGAAAGCTTATTCACTCATCTCTGTCCCCACCCTCTTATCAGCCTGGTTCTCCCTTCTCTCCTCAGTAAATTCTTGGACTGAGTGGAGAAAAGAAACTGACTCAACAGACAAAGACCATTTAACAAAAAGTAAGTTATTTTACTACTGTTTATCCATATTCACCAGCTTGTAGTTTGGATTTTCCAACATTTGTGGGACTGCTTCTATATTAATTGCATGTTTTATTTTAAACTGTTTTTATTCTTTGAGTTATGATAATTACATTTAGCATCACTTTTGCTATTGTTTTTCTTTGCACAGTTTATTTTCTATCAGTTGTTTATTGTGCAGAAATAAACATATTTCATTTTAGTTGCACATGTAAATTTAAGTTGCATGCATAATGTTTAGATGCTCTCAAATTTATTGATTTGGTTTTTAATTCATTGAAAATATTCTGGCTCGATCGACGTTAATTTTAGACCAATGGTTTAGAAACTGTTGCATGGACAAAATCCTTCAAACTAATGGGCTTTGCCAGTTTTATGACTGACGCAGATTAGGGACTTATAATCAACGATAGTGCAGTTGCATCAGCAGCTTTCTTTGTGTCTTCATTTTTAAAATAGTTTAATAATGCTCTAGAAAGTTTTTGTTCATGAAAGAACTTTCATAAAATGTTTAGCCATTAGGGGGACATGACTTCACCGTATGTAAAAAAGGTTACTATTCAGGGAACAGCAAAAGCTTAATTCATTCATACATAAACTCAAAGTGACATGACAATATTTTGTTTGATCTGATGCAGTAAAATCATTTCATATGCAGTGATTTGATCATAGGAGAAAAACAATCTTCATATTAAAAACATAAACTTGAATTGCATGTTATAATGTAGAGCATAAGAAGATGTCCCCAGAATGTGCGCCCGTCATACCCCTGATAATCTCAGACTAATCTGATAAGTAAACCTCAGCCTGGTTCTCAGTAACTGTTTGTGACAACAGGATTGTTTGTCTTAGTTTGCTTTATTTTATTTTACTTTATTGCGTATATTTTCAATAACCTACTAGTACAAAATGATATACGAGTATTTGATTTGCATAATCTTTGCACTGAAAGTAGCAACGGATATAATATTTTACAACAGGCTTTACAATCAATATAATCAAGTGAATGCAATTTTTATTTAGCAGATTAAGACAAAGGGAATTTATTTATTATGCTTTTGGGGTATAACCTTTATGACACATTTATTTAAAAGGGAATCCAAGATAAGAAGATGAAAAACTGCTTTGACAAATAATATCTTTACAAAACCTTTGTGTATACTTGTTATACATGTATATGACTTTATGTTTATTTACTTTCTACTTTATATATGATCTAAATAAAATGTGTCTTAGACTTATACAACTTTTATTGTAACTGTGTATACAAAATGACATTTTTGGTAGTACAGCTTTCAGACATTAAATGAATATTTACATTCCATAAAGTGCAGCAATGAGCAAATGTAAACAATGTGGGAGAAAAAACCTGATGTAAAAAAAGGAATTGATATGCATCAATATATATGGTGCAAATATGCAGTATTTTTGGTTTGGTGTTATCAGTGTAATGCAGAGTTTGTGACATAATTTACAGTTTTACATTTAATTTACATAATTTACATTTACAGCTTTTTTGTTTTTTTTCAACAGTTCAGTAATGTTTTTGTTTGCATTTTCCACTTTAATGTTTTTATTTTTGGTTTTATTTATAACATTCATGTTTTAATTTATAATATTCTTGTTTTAATTTATAGTATTCATGTTTTAATTTATAATACTCATGTTTTAATCATATAGTATTTTTTGTTTGTTTGTTTGGGTTGTATACTTGCAGTCCAGCAATGAAGTGTTGTATGCAGTAGTGAGGTTAACACGATCTAATATAAACACCTAAAGTAAACATTCCAGCCATTGTGCAGCCCTAACATGTTGGCTGTATTGACTGGGATTTAATTCACACAATTTGCTGTTTGATTTGATTGCAGGTTTGCTGAAGGATGTCGTCTGTAAACCAGGAAGAAGAGGAGCTTCCTGCAAATTTCACAGGTCAGAGATACATTAGATAAGTTCAAATCCTGCTGAGATAAGCATGAAAAAGATGACTTTACTTATGAATGAATTCACATTTATACCATTGTGTCCTCTAGTGGAGAAATGTACTCGCTACATCAGTTATAATAGTCAAAGAAGAAGAATTTGTCAAAGGAAGAAAAGGGTGCATGGGATGTATACAGTATATAGAGTGCATCCACATATGACAGCTTTTTTTTATTTTTATAAGAGGATTATTATACAGGATTATTGCACAGGGTGTTTACATGGGTATTTATATAGATTGATATTTATATATATAGTTATTGCACTGGGTGTCAAATATAGAGAAACAGGTTATTGCACAGGATATCAAATAGTAATTGCACATTATACATTGCACAAGTTATTGCCTTTGTAGTGTCGCGTTGTAGAGTCTGGTTGCAGCAGGGATGAATGATCTGCTGTAGCGCAATAAAGGTCTTTGACTAAAGGAGCTGCTCAGCTCCTCTACAGTCTGCTGCAGAGGGTAGAAGGTGTTTTCCATGATGGATGTAAGCTTGAACAGCACCCTCCTCTCAGCCACTTCCTCCACTGAGTCCAGAGTTAAGCCTAGGACAGAAGCGGCCTTTCCCACTAGTTTGCTCAGTCTCTTTCGGTCCCACTCAGCGCTGCCAGGGGCCCAGCAGATGACAGAGTAAATGAGTAAATGCTAATGATTTTAATGCTAGGCAACATTAAACCCAGCTGTTTTTTTTTTATGGTGCAAGACACATATGCAAAAATAGAAGATCTCTGGATCATTGAGAAATTGTATTGGTTATCCTATGATTTGGTTGGGTTCCACATACATTTTTGTTATGTTTTATTTTCAATTTGGTTTCTGATCAACTTTCATAACTGCTGCAGAGACTTCAGTTTTTTTAAACAGTTGTGTGCTTTAAGATGTAAAAGCATGCAGATGTTTTATAATAATTGCCAACGTTTGAGTCTTTGCATGTCTGTTTGACATCATGATTGGGTTACTATATATTTGTGTGCCTCCAGGCCCGAAAGGTGTAATTAATGACTGGCGTAGATACAAGCTGGACAGTGTGGACCAGAATGTCCCTCAGAGAAAGAGAGAACTGCTTAGACAAATGTCTAATCCACGAGATGATGACAAGGAAAGGCAGAACAGAAAGGTATATGAAAGCGTGACTCCCTAAGACACAATTGCTCACAATAAATACATGTATTTATAAATGGTATGTGTCTTTAACTGCAGATGAGCGCTCAGGAGTACGAGCTGATCCAAAACGAGGATGAGCGTTGCCTGAAACGCTACAGAAAACAGTGCATGCAAGAAATGCACGAGCGCCTGAGCTTTGGTCCCAAGTTTGAATGCGTGCACGAGCTGGAGAGTGGAGAAGCTTTCCTGGAGGTGATAGAAAAGGAGCACCGTTTGACCCCCGTGGTGGTCCACATCTACCAGCATGGTGTCAAAGGTCTGGGTGGAAATTAAAGAGCTTGCTTTCTCATTGTAGCACAGTCCCCTTGATCAGTATGTGGTACTTGAAAACCTTTTTAAATACATGCATCCTTTGACAGGCTGTGAGCAGATGAACTCCTGTCTGGACTGTCTGGCTACTGAATACCCCACTGTGAAGTTTTGTCGCATTGATGCTGTGGCAACAGGTGCTGCAGAGCGTTTCTCATCTGAGGTTAGTTCACCAAAAATAAAACAAAAGAAAAGCAATAATTTTTTTTGATTATACAAACAATAGTAGATCAGATTGCTACAATAATCTCTAAAGGGGAAGTAGTGTTCTCTAAAAATGCTCTCTTACTGAGTTGATTCTGTGTAAAGTTACAGTGCCTTTCAAAAGTATTCCTCTAAATACTTTCTCAAACTGTTATGTTGCAACAACAAACTTAAGTAGATTTTATTGGTATTTTATAAAATCAACCAACACACTCTTCTGCATGGTTCAGATTAAATGAAGATGATGCATGATTTTTTAAAATGCTCTATTTATAAAATGAAAAATCAATCATGCACATTCACATTCATTCTATTTTCCTGCAGTTTACGCCTGCAGATATGTCTCTACCCACTTAGCGCATCTAAAAATTTATATTTCTACCTGCATCTTTACAGTTTAAATTCCCTAAGATTGGACAGAAAGAAATTATGAAGATCATTCTTCACAGTTTTCACCTGAATATGATTTAATTTGAACTATTCAGTTGTAGCACTCTTTGTACGTTTGCTGTTTACTTCCTAAATGGTTGTTTTCCGGCTATAAGGTGAGGTTTAGCTGTAATTATAAGTGCTGCTTCCAAGGATTGCTGGGTAAATAGATTTATCCATATGCTTCCGGTCCCTGAGATGCTACCACAAACTAAACGTCATGTGCTGATGGTGTGCTCATTGTGATCCACGACACATGTTGTGATTTATGTAGACTTCAAAGTTCAGTTTTGGTTTCATCTAAGCGGGAAAAAGCCTTTCTGCATGTATTCACTGTATCTCCCATATTGCCTGTAGGAAAATGTTAGTGACTTTGATGGGAAAAACACATTTATTATGCGATAAGCATAAATCTAAGCAATAAAGGGTCATTGAAATAAATAAACCACCGAGGTGGTTTTTAAACATAACTGGCTACAAATATGGTTACCTAAATACAGAGGAACACATCCCCTTCTTCTACTCATAACCACTACTTTACTATTTTGTGTTGCTTTATCAAGTAAAGTCAGTTTGAAATACACTCGCCAATAAATTCACTAATCATATGATGCTTTAGTGGTTGGAAAAAAAAAATCATAAACCATTACTTCTGAAGTCTGCCTCAGAGGCTGTCACTTCTAATTTTTTTATGTCTTTGTTTGCCTATCCAGGTTCTTCCTACGCTGTTGGTTTATAAGGCTGGTGAATTACTGGGAAATTTCTTGGCCATCACTAAAAACTTCAATGAAGAGTTCTTTGCAACAGACGTGGAGGCATTTCTGAATGAATACGGCCTCCTACCTGAAAAGGAGTTCAGTGCATGTGCCGATGATGAAGATGATGCAGGGGAGGTGGAGTAAAGGAAGACTAAAGATGAAGGAGGAGGGAAGAGGATGGAGCGGTTACATAAGAGAGAACAAAAGGAGAGGTTTAGGGGAGAAGAAACTCAGATCCATGGAATAAATAATAAAAACACTAAACTTTCCAGCTGCAGATTGTAAATTATGGCTGCATTTAGAAGAAGCTGTGTGTAAACAGGGGATTTGAAGAAGTCTGTAATTAACTTCTGCTTATTAAGATCCTACCATTATACTTCAATAAAATACACTGTCAGTGATTTCTGTCTCTGGGAAAGTTTTTGTTGTTGTTTTATTTGGTTATTATAAAGTTCTTTAGAGCTGCGATTCCCAAACTTTTCAGCTTCCGTCACAGAAAGAGTGCTGTTAAGTATGAAAGAGGGTCATCACTGCAGCAACAGGTTGTTTGCACAAGTAGGTTCATTTAAACTTTACAAATCCTGTGTTCTCACCCCGAGCTCAACTGTGGTATCGATTTGTGAAAAATGAGAGTAGAGTAGTTTAAATGGAAATTTTGAAGGTAGAGAACTCTCTGACTATGGCTTGCGAAACATAAAAGACATTAAAACTGTAAAAATGTATTTAAAATATATTTTAATGGTTATAATTTGGCATTACTGATTGCTGGTTTCCAGTCTTGCTGCGTCCTGTACAGTAGGAGGCAGTAGCATTTCTTTAATGTTGGATTTCACCAGAAGAAAACCAAGGTGTGTCATTTGTTCCAGAATTCAGTATTAAAAAACTGTAAAAGAATTACTGATGAAGTATCAGTTTATGCAGGGGAGATAATGGGAATCATTTTGGCTTTTGAATGGATTAAGGAAGTTTGTCCTGCAATAAGTATACTATGTTCTGATTCAAGTTCATCATTATATTCAATATTAAATAATCATTCTATTAGTAGACCAGACCTTTTCTTAGAGATTAATTTTTTTATAAGTAGAATTCAGGCAATGGGTTTAATAGTTATTTTTACATGGATACCATCACATAAAGGAGTAAAAGGAAATTAGTTGGCAGATAAATATGCAAAACAAGCTACAAAAAATAGTTATATTGATTTATGATACCATTTAGTAAAGAAGAAATTAAATCTATTATTAAACAAAAGGTTAAGGAAAGATGGCAAAAGCAGCGGGAAGAGGATAGAACTGGAAGGTGGCTTTACAGTATTCAAAGAAAAGTTTGTACGATGAGGAGAACAGGAAGAAATAGAAATGAGGAAACCATTATATCCACATTAAGGTTTTGATCATACAAGGTTAAATAGCACATAATTTAAAATGGGAAAACATCCAACAGGAAATTGTGATTTTCTTTGTTTTCAAGAAGAGACAGTAAAACATGTTTTGTTAGTCTGTTCTAAACATTCTGTTGAGAGAAGGGAATTAGTCAATTACAAGAAAATAAATTGCAATTAAATATACAACATATTTTGAACAAACTTTCTACTTCTGAATGTTTTTTTTATTATTATTTAATGAATCACCTTAAGAAAATGAAATCGAAAGAAAGAATATAAGAACTTAATCATTATAATTTTTTTGTGGGAGAATTTATATAGCATCCCCATCAATTTTAGGGACCGATTGAGGTAGGGAAGANGACTTGCAAAACATAAAAGACATTGAAACTGTAAAAATGTATTTAAAATATATTTGATGGTTATAATTTGGCACTACTGATTGCAGAAGAAAATTGAAGAAAACCAAGGTGTGTCATTTGTTCCAGAATTCAGTGTTAAAAAGCTGTAAAAGAGTTACTGATGGAGTATCAGTTTATGCAGGAGAGATGATGGGAATCGTTTTTGTTTTAGAATGGATTAAGGAAGTTTGTCCTTTAAGAAGTATAAAATGTTCTGATTCAAGTTCATCTTTATATTCAATATTAAATAATCTTTCTATCAGTAGACCAGACCTTTTATGAGAGATTCAGTTTTTTATGTATAGAATTCAGGCAATGGGTTTAATAGTTATTTTTACATCACATATAGGAATAAAATATGCAAAACAAGCTACAAAAAATAGTTATATTGATATAATGATACCATTTAGTAAAGAAATTAAATCTATTATTAAACAAAAGGTTAAGGAAAGATGGCAAAATGGAAGGTGGCTTTACAGTATTCAAAGAAAAGTTGGTACGATGAGGAGAACAGGAGGAAATAGAAATGAGGAAACCATTATATCCACATTAAGGTTTTGATCATACAAGGTTAAATAGCACATTATTTAAAATGGGAAAACATCCAACAGGAAATTGTGATTTTCTTTGTTTTCAAGAAGAGACAGTAAAACATGTTTTGTTAGTCTGTTCTAAGCATTCTGTTGAGAGAAGGGAATTAGTCAAGAAAATAAATTGCAATTAAATATAAAACATATTTTGAACAAACTTTCTACTTCTGAATGTTTTTTTTTTATTTAATGAATCACCTTAAGAGAATGAAATCGATAGAAAGAATATAAGAACTTAATCATTATAATTTTTTTGTGGGAGAATTTATATAGCATCCCCATCAATTTTAGGGACAGATTGAGGTAGGGAAGAAAATTTGGTTATTTATAAAGCTTGTTTTTGTTTTTTCACATAACACAAAATAGAATATAGTAGGTGGAACCATAGATATCCATAATAAAGGATTTTATTATGGATATCTATGGGAACTATAGAGCTACACACTCGTGTAGACTAGGTGGCGGTATGCACCTATAAGCTGTTTGCAATCCGCCATTCAACATAGAAGATGAAGAAGTGGTATCCCAATCCACACCCCATTCCAGTAGGTGGCGGTAATGAACATCAATAAGTTGCTTGCCAACCGCCATAAAAAAAAGAAAAACAAGAAGGAAACCAAGGAGGTGTTTTCTATGTAAAAGGCGATATTACTGGGCCGCTGTAGGATTCATAAGTCGTGATTTATCGGTGGAATCTCTCCAATGTTAGGAGATTA